TAAATTATGAACTGTTTTCCCATCGTCAATGTCCAGAGAAACCCAATATATATGTAGATATCGGATCGGTATCCGTATTGCCCATGCCTACTGCAGAAGTTATTTTTACCACTGTCAAACGAAGGGTGTCCAACTGCAGATTGAGGAATATTGAACATTTTCAATAATTCAGCTCTCGGCGGAGTCTAGACAGCGGTGACCGTTCGTATTTATGGAAGGCCACCAATTTACAGACTTAAATAGCTATCAGATACGGGTTAAAATTACTTGACCCCATTTGATTCTCAGTTAGAACTCTCTAGAAGTTTATTTTGACTATTATTATTATTGAAAGACCAACTATTTTCAGACAGAAAAACCTGTGACACTGCGACCTTTTCATGATCTTTCGTGCTCGTTTTTTTAAAGGAAGATTTTTTAAGATGTTTTTTATCCCTCAGGATACAGAGTGTGTTTTCCCAATGAGATATATCGTTTATGTATGTGTGGGCTACAGCGACACATTCAGTGCTGCGGCATTTCTTCCTCACTGTGACAAAATCTGCGAATAATTTTTGGGCCTAAGCCTAGTTGGGCCATGTGCTTGTTTAATTTGCAGTGTCTAGTGAGAGCCCTTGTTAATATACACATTTTTACTCAAAAGAATTAATTTCTGAGAGTGATTTACTGAAAATCCCTTAATCAGAGTTTATTTAACTACCATTATTTTCATCTTTTTTTTTATGCAACTTAGAATGGCCAACAAGCTGACGGCCCACCTGATGGGAAGTGGTAACCGTCGTCTATAGACATGAGCTGTACCATGGACATAACAGGGTATACTGTTTCGCCCATGATACTCCCCATGCGTTGCCATTCCTGAGGATTTAGTTGTTATTCCTCTGTACCCAGTAAATTCACGCCATATCCCACCCTTCAAACCGAAACACAGCCATGCAAACACAGCTGCTTCACGGTTGAAACACGAATGGGATAGAGGTACCCAAGCAATCGACTTTTGTCTTAAGTACTGCTAGCGACATATCACCGTGTTGTATTATGTTATAAAAAGTCCCAGAAATATAATTGAAAAAAAAAAATGGAGACATCAATAGATATAGGCGTGATGAATGTGTATATATTTATTTAAAAAAGTTCACAATTCCATTACAAAATGCTTGTAAAACACGCACGTTTTACATAAATCATTACTTAGTTACAAGTCGAGTGAAATAAAATTTAAAAATTTGTATTTTATTTCTTTTAACATTAGTTACTTATAAATAATCTTATGAATACATAAAATGTTACAAAAACAAAGGTCAAATGTCCTCGCAGAAATACCTCTACTCTTTGTCTTTACAGAAGATCGTAAATCAAATAACATTTGGTTACGTTATTTGGCGGTAACGCTTCGATATCAGGTTCAGGGACGACTTCAAGCACGTAAACACACCGTGGTAATCGATTTACTAATTAACTGAACTAATTAAAATATATAAGTTTGGATATTAATAGAAATAACGAAACAGAATATTCATATATTTTTCCCTCTCGTATTGTGATAATCAATCAAAATTGTTAGGTTATTTTTCCCCACTCGTGACATTATGATTGAAGCTTGGACTCTGCTGTTGGATATTTATTTACTCGGTGGCGAAATGGCGGTGCGACGTTGCCGCGCTGCGCGCTGAACGAGAACGTGCCACGTTGCCGCTCCGCCATGTTCCACAAGTAAATATTCGAATTTCGAACTTGTTTGGCATTGCGAATTGGTCAGGTTAGCGTAAATGGACGCTCGGTATTCTTTAGATATAAATATAAGTTTATAACAACATTGTGCGCCGTGTGTAGGCTGGTTTGGTATTCTGTAACGGTTTCAGCCAATTAAAGAACACGAAACTGGTTTAGTTCGCCGTTTCGTACTGGGATACCTATTGATAAATAAATTGCCGGTGGCCGGCGGTGGTCCGCGCGAAATGCACTGGCCGGAATAATTAAGTAATATTTTATAATCATAAAGCGTTATGAGAATTTTTGTATCTTACATAATTAATCGTAGTCGTGCACTTGTAGTTTTTCTTGAATATGCAATGGTAATGCCAGTTGTATAGCGTTTAATGGTATACGCACACATTAGTGGAAGTTGAAGCAAAAGAAATTCCGTAATTTTATGGTTGGAATCAACTCAGTTGGCCTATCATGGTATTATTGGCGAATGCCAAAGGAATGTAATTAGATTAGTCTAATGGGAATATTAGAAGTCATATGACGATACTATAAAATTAATATGGTGACTATAAACTGTAGAAAGATTATTGTCAATCGACTTTAAAAAGAATGGAGTTCTCAAGTCGGTTGTATTTTTTTTTTGTTTATTACCTCATAACGCTGTTAGTTTGTAAACCGATTTGGAATTTTTTTTTATCTAAAAGTATATATTTACCGATTGGTCTCATAGATATTTTATCAAAATCGGTTCAGTAGATAATTTTTTAAATTAGTTATATTAATTAGTTTTGTCACAATTGAAGTCGACTTTTTTTGTGAAACGCGATCTTAATTATACCGTCGACTTTTGTGACTAAATGTAATCGTTTACCTGCTGAGAGCTAGCCAATGGGTATAGAATGGCAAAACAGACATACTGACGGCCTGCCTGGTGAAAAAGGTAACGTACACAGTAGGTAAATTGGTATTAAGCATTATTTAATCGTTGCTTGTCCACGATTCTACATTATGGTATCTGACCAAACGGAAATCAGGAGGCACGGCTTAATAATTATAAAAAAAATAAAAATATAAAACGAAATCTACTATTTCGATTACTAAATAAATCTAAACAGTGGGGGGGGGGAAGGGATTGTTAATAATGGAGACTGAGAATCCCATTGCTAGCAATATACCCAACCCAACCAGGTCGATCTCCTCGCGGTTCCCCCTGGAAACTTTAATGGTTAATTCCTGATGAATTCATCATGATGGGCTAACTGGCCTGTTTTCATTCTCATCTATCACCCTTCACTGGTGCTCCGCCAGCGTATCCCATTAGCGCAGGCGGGGTTACCATACCATTTTCACCCATCAAAAAAAAATCTAAACAGTGGACTTGAGAACAAAGTATTTTATTAGTAGAACATGTTGCAGTGCAGTTGCCAAGTCATTATAATTATTATAGAAGTAAAGATGTCTAATATTGATTCGGTTATTATAAACGCTGATAGGTCATTTGATTAGATTAACAATTTATAACAAAGTTGTAGAATAGACACTTCTAGTATAGTCACTGATTAAAACAACTGATTCGGTTTTACATGAGATCTCACAACTGTCTGTAGTGGAACAACTGCGTCGAGAGACTTGGCATATTTTTACATTTTATGTTTTTGATGAGTTGTCTTATCAGAGGGAGACTTTGTACAAAAGTCGTTTGCTTGGGGTACCTCTGTCCCATTCGTGTTTCAACCGTGAAGCAGTTGTGTTTTCATGGCTGTGTTTCGGTTTGAAGGGTGGGATATGGCGTGAATTTACTGGGTACAGATGAATAACACTTGAGTCCTTAGGAATGGCAACGCATGGGGGTATTATGGGCGAAACAGTATACTCTGTTATGTCCATGGTACTGCTTATGTCTATAGGCGACGGTTACCACTTTCCATCAGGTGGGCCGTCAGCTTGTTTGCCATTCTAAGTTGTATAAAAAAAAATATTATAATAGATAATTAGAAAGACGAAAGAGAGGAGTTTGTCAACTGGATAGATTCTATTTTCGTAGGGAAAGTGCAGGTTCGAATCCAATTTAATCGTACTGCCATTAATTTAAATTTTGGATATAGATGGAGAAATGATGGATTAAGTATTAGGAGTATTTTTGTTTACACATACCTAGATATCTAAATAAATGCTACATAATAGATAGACATCAGCTGAATCACCGGCGCTGACACAATAAAGATATTCTAAAAACGCCGCTTCATTTCTGAGCGTTTTATCTTTTACGTATGTTATCTATTATTAATTTACTAGATAAATTAAGCAAATACCTAGTGTGTATATTTTATTTTCCTAGATAGCTAGATTTTTAAGATTTTTTTAAACGGATGATAATGGAATGGTAACCCCGCCTGCGCTAACGGTATACGCTGGAGGGGCACCAGTGAGCGATGATAGGTGAGAATGAAAAGACAGGTCAGTTAGCCCATCGTGATGAATACACTTGGAACTCGGCACGATGGTTTCCAGGGGGACCACGTGGAGGTCAACCTGGTTGGGTATATTGCTAGCAATATTGCTAGCTATTAACAATCCCCCAGATTTTCGAGTTGGCAACGCGAAACTGGTACGGAATCTCGCTTCGAGCCGGCTTGTCCTGTCCGCATTGATCGGTCGCCGCCGCGACGTTGCCGCTCCGCGCGCTCTCCTGGCCGCACGTTGCCGTTCCGCGGCGGCCTATTATTATTTATTATGTTATGGCCGCCCGCGGCCCCCCGCGCGCGCCACTGCACGCTTGCGTCACCCGCGTGCAATGCCCGACAATGTTTTTACACTATTGTTTTCCGAGATTCGCGCTAATTATAATAATTCAGACGGTAAAGGATGTAAGTTTACTTCACGCCCACTGTTATTGTGCGAAAAGATTGTTAGATTGTTTTTTTTTTTTTATCGCGGGTTGATCTCTAGATGCTTGCTAGTAATATACTCTATCAGATCGACCTCCAAGCGGTTCTCCCTGGAAACTATAGTGGTTAATTGTTGTGAATTTCATCACGATGGACTGACTGCTCTCATCCTCACTTACCATCCCTCACTGGTGCCCCTCCAGTGTATATCGATAGCGCAGGCGGGGTTACCATTCCATTACCAACTATTAGAAAAAAAATCTAGACGCTATGTCCACATAGAATTGTTACTTTAATTAATAAGAAATGCAGATTTTAATGGGTACATAGATAAACAAATAAACAATTTATTGGCATTTAATTGAATATAACATGCTTGACAGGTTAACAAACGAGACAAACCTAGCTGTGTGGTCCCAGCGTAGAATTCCTTTCCAGTGGGTGATGTAAGAGGCGACTAAGGGAGGGTGAGGGATGGGCAGCAGCGTCCCTCTTAAAACATCACCAATGCCAAACGTGGCAACTACTGGCAAAACTCCCCAAGGGAGAGGCCTATGTTTAACAGCTCTATTGTTGTAACGTTGACTTCCACACAGTCTCCCCTGAAAACCATTATGATTGATAATCGTCCCAATGGGCCAACTGACCTGCTTTCATCCTCACTACTCATCACTCACTGGTGCCTCTCCAGTGTATACCAATAAGCGGGGTTATCATTCCATTATCATACATTCAAAAAATGTCTCTGCCTATCCCATTCGTGATTGTAGTCGTTAGTATATTCATTTAAAAAATATTATCAAAATTGTACTACCAATAGATTTAGACTGATTTTATTTTATTCTTGAACTCTGTGGTTTAAGAAACACCACAGTCTAAATATAAACAGTGCGCCAAACGTGGCGAAACAAATTCCGCGCGTAATAAAAATGGATGTTCATTGACTGATTGTAAATGCCAATATGGTTGTATTGTAACTAATTATGTGTACTTTATCGATGAATCACGAAGTACTTTATTATAATATACGTGTAATTCTTTCATAATGTATTTTATAGAGATATATACTTATTTCAGACATATTCTTTTAAGCGGTTACCGGATATTTTTGGTATTTATAAATATTTTATAGAACTTCACGGAGAACGTACTCAAGTCTGCACTGACTTCGATGATTATTTCCATCGAAAGGTTTCGCTTTAATTTGACACTTGATTTCTTTTATCTTCTCTTTTCACAATCATAGTCCTTTTCAACTTTGAATTTAGCAAAACGACCTAAATTCCAAAGTATGATTAGACATTTTAGATACCACCTGCAATGCCGCTGGTGTTGTGGGTGATCATGGGCGGCGGTAGTCACTTACCCATCAGGTGAGCCGCATACTCGTTTGTCCCCTGTGTTGTAAAAAAAAAACCACACACTTTATGACTACATAAAGTTGTAAAATATATACATATCATATCGTTGAGTTATACACAGTTTAGAACGGTAAACGACGTCACAAATAAAATTAATTCCCAACTAAATATTATATTCAATGTCATTTTAAACAATGTATAATTATTTATACATATATGCTATTTATAAATATAAATTTAATATTCATGTACAGACTATGAGACTACGTCAAAAGATATGTTTGTTATTCAATAAAACGTCACACCGAATTACGTGTGCGTACGTGATCCGAATTGTTTATATAAGATACATAGGTGCAGATAAAACAAGTCGCTACTGCCACAAAATATACGTTTTTATTTTATTTTGAATTTTTGGAATTTAGACTTTTAGTTTGGAGTTGACAGTCTGTGACGCGTTTGTCTTTAGGTCAAAGATATTGATACATAGATGAGCATAAGTCTCTACTGCCGCAAAATATTAGCTTTTATTTTATTTCGAAATTGGAATTTAGACTTTAGTTTGGAGTTGATAGTCTGTGACGCGTTTGTCTTTAGGTAACATATTGATACATAGATGAGCATAAGTCTCTACTGCCGCAAAATATTAGCTTTTATTTTATTTCGAAATTGGAATTTAGACTTTAGTTTGGAGTTGATAGTCTGTGACGCGTTTGGCTTTAGGTAACATATTGATACATACGAGATTCTGTCCGGAAAGTTCGTATAAAAGTGTTCTGGAATGCGAGAAAGAGGACATTTTTTTTTCCCCTTCCTTATGTCCCTAACAATGCTTCAGTTCTGGTCTGACCGCCGTGCGGTTTGGAACTGGATTGTCACGCCATCTGTGAAGTAATACCTCTTAACGAAACCCCGTCGGCATGGAGCCCGCTTCCGTTGAAGAGCAGCGCGTCGTAATCAAGTTTCTCTCGAAACTCGGCAAGAATGGCCGTGAAATTTTTGCCGATCTCAGAACAGTTTATGGGGATGATGCTGTGAAGGAACCAACCGTCCACAAGTGGCTAAAAAGATTCAGAGAGGGCCGAGAAAGCGTTCAAGATGACCCACGTTCAGGACGTCCTTCCACTTCACATTCCGACGAATTCGTCCCTCCAGGCCAGACAGTTGATGGAAAATTCTACGTCGATGTGCTCAGACGAACCTCAGAAGCTCGTGTGGCACGAGTTCGTCCAGAATTGGCGCGAGAGGGGCGTTGGATTCTTCACCACGACAATGCCCCTGCCCACACCTCTCTTGTTGTCCGTGAGTTTTTGAGTAAAAATTCCATTACGGTGACCGAACACCCCCTATTCGCCGGATTTGGCCCCGTGTGACTTCTTCTTGTTCCCAAAAACCAAATTGGTACTTCGGGGGCGGCATTTGGGGGACATAAATGAGATAAAAAAAGCTACGACGGGGCAGCTGAGAAACCTACAACCAGAGGACTTTCAAGGAGCCTTCTCACAGTGGAAACGGCGTTGGCACAAGTGCATTATGTCACAGGGGGAGTACTTTGAAGGGGATAAAATTGATTTACCTGAATAATTGTAAAATAAAATTTTTAAAAACTTTTATACGTACTTTCCGGACAAACCTCGTAGATGAGCATAAGTCTCTACTGCCGCAAAATATTAGCTTTTATTTTATTTCGAATTTGGAATTTAGACTTAGTTTGGAGTTGATAGTCTGTGACACGTTTGTCTTTAGGTAACATATTGATACATAGATGATCATAAGTCTCTACTGCCACAAAATATACGTTTTGATTTTATTTTGAATTTGGAATTTAGACTTTTAGTTTGGAGTTGATAGTCTGTGACGCGTTTGGCTTTAGGTAACATATTGATACATAGATGAGCATAAGTCTCTACTGCCACAGAGTATTGACATTTTTTTTCTTTTAAATTTAGACTTTAGAATTTAGAATTCATAGTCTGTGACGCGTTTGTGTTTGGGTCCAAGATATACTTATTATTGTTAATAATGTTAGGTACATACCTGTCAGATTGACTTTTATATGGTCTCCCTGAAAACCATAGTGAATTTTTGAACGAATGAGAATGGAATGGTAACCTTACCTGTGCTATCGGTATATGCTGGGGAGGCATCAGTAACAGAGACAAAGATAAAAACAGGTCAGTTAGCCCATCGTGACGAATGAACCTACAGGAATGAACCACTATGGTTTCCAGAGAGAACCACGTGGCAGTCGACCTGCTATTGCTAGCAATAGAGCTGTTCAACTCCATTACTAACACTTCCAAAATCATCGTGATTAATTCCTGTCAAATTCGTCATTATGGGCTTATTGATCTGCTTTCATCTTCCAATAGCGCAGGCGAGGTTAGGATTCCAAACTTTTTCATACGGGGGGGGGGGAGGTATTGTTAGTAATGAGGTCTAATAGCTCCATTCCTAGAAATATACCATCTCAGGTCGACCTCCACGCGGTTCTCCCTGGAAACCATCTTAATTCTTGTCGAAGTCATGGCGGACCAACTCATCTGCATTCATTCTCACCTATCATCTTCCACTGGTGCCTCGCCAGCGTATACCGATAGCGCGGGCGGGGTTATTATTCCATTTTCACCCATTAAAAAAAACTTATCCATACAAAAAAGTTGTATCGGTCGGTATGGTGGCGTGGTATCGCGCAGTAACAGTATCCTGTACAACGATACCGCAGTCGTTTCCTTTTAACGAGCGCTCCAAGCCAGCCTTTTGTTTCAGACATTTTCGTAATCTCTAAAGAGTAAAAGAATCTCGTTTGTTTTGTAGGCTTTAGCTTCTGGTCTATATTTATTTATTTATTCTTTATTACACAACTAGCGGCCCGTCCCGGCTTCGCACGGGTGGACATTTTTAAACTTTGACAAAAAAAAATGCAATTAAAATCGTCAAAAAATGTTCAATATCGGTTACGTCCGCTGCGTAGGGAGGCGACCGGCGACCGCGCGAATGAATCTATCAACTTTTAAAACGTAAAAAATGGTTATTGTGACATAACGATAATAGTTGGACATATAGTATCGTGAAGTTTTTTGTAATTATTGATTTTTTTTTCTTCAATATTGTAGAACATACTTTTGTTCTATCACCAATAGTTTCCACAGCGCACGCGACCAAAGATATTTTATAGCGTTTTTTTTTTACACCTCGGGTTACGTTATTAAAGTTTTAGTAAGGATTCCTAATCTTTTCTAGCAATAAATATAGCCTATGTTACTCAGGGTGAATGTAGCTTTGTAATGGTGAAAGAATTTTTGAAAACGGTAGTTTTTGAGTTAATTCGTTACAAACATACATACACACCAGAGGGAGACTTTGTACAAAAGTCGATTGCTTGGGTACCTCTGTCCCATTCGTGTTTCAACCGTGAAGCAGTTGTGTTTGCATAACTGTGTTTCGGTTTGAAGGATGGGATATGGCGTGAATTTACTGGGTACAGAGGAATAACACCTGAGTCCTCAGGAATGGCAACGCATGAGGGGTATCATGGGCGAAACATTATACTCTATTATGTTCATGGTACTGCTCATGTCTATAGGCTACGGTTACCACTTTCCATCAGGTGGGCCGCCAGCTTGTTTGCCATTCTAAGTAGTATAAAAAAAAAAAAAAAAAAAAAAAAAAACACAAAAATACAAATCTTTCCTCTTTGTAATATTAGTGTAGATAATACATAAGAAATACGCATATAACACATAAACACTATTTCTTATTTTATAATATAATTAGTAGATAACATTTCAACTTCAATTACGGACCCTGTTGGGCACAGTGAGTACGAGAGAAGATGACACTTTTTTTCACTTTAAAAATAGTCTAAGAATCTTTTTTTTTTATACAACTTAGAATGACAAACAAGCTGACGGTCCACCTGATGGAAAGTGGTAACCGTCGCCTATAGACATGAGCAGTACCGTGGACATAACAGAGTATATAATCTGTTACAATATTGGGTGAAAATGGTATGGTAACCCCGCCTGCGCTAACGGGATACGCTGCCGGTGCACCAGTGAAGGGTGATAGATGAGAATGAAAACAGGCCAGTTAGCCCATCATGATGAATTCATCAGGAATTAACCATGATAGTTTCCAGGGGGAAGCGCGAGGAGGTCGACCTGGTTGGGTATATTGCTAGCAATGGGATTCTCAGTCTCCATTACTAAAAATCCCTTTCCCCCTAGTATATAT